CGCACCTCCCGCCCCCTCACTGAATATGAAGTATGCCTGTGAAATCATGCAGAATGTTAATAACAAATGTTTGCACTTTACCCTTTTTTCTCTTTGTTCTTTTCCCTCTTTTTCCAAACAATTCACCCTCTCTTCATTTCTTTTATCTTCCACATCCTTTCATTTATTTCTCTCCTTTCCTTTCCTGCTTTACTTCCACCATCACTTTTCTCACTGCTACCTGGACTGCATGACACAAAGGAGGACAAAGTGGTTAGCATCTTTTTTTGTGTTTTCTCTATGCTGTGAATGTGATGTTTGTTCCCCCCTGAAAAATGCTGGCTTTGTTCAAATCAGGAACTTAGATCTCTCATGATGACCCCTTGAAAGGTAGTTTAGGGTCTTCCATATTGGCCAGACCTTTCCCAGCTGGAAAATAAAGGTCGAAAAGCAACAATACTAGATGCAAGAGAGCAAGCTATCCGATTGGAACGGAGCCAGAGTATGTACAAATCCACTTATAGATTACTGATTTAACTGAGCAGAGGGAATCCCTGATAGGTCATGCTTTTTATTAACTTTGATTCTCAGGGCGTTTACAGTACTGTGTCCTCCGAGGATTCTTCCCAGTGTAAACCCTGTCTAACTCTGTGTCCGTTGTCTGTCTCCTCCCCTTGCAAAGTGTCTCATAGTGAAAGACAGGGTAAGGCTTACTGGGTGATGGATTTTGCTGCATGGGTCACTACTTTTGTCTCCCCTTCACACTTGGGTCTGTGCTCATTCACAGTGTCAAACAGTAAACCAGACCCACTATCTGCCTCATAGATCATTGTAGTAAAGCGGTCCCAGGGCAGCTGGCTGCTGATCCTGCATCAGTACTCTGTGTAATCCTGAGAATGAATGCAGACCCTGAAAATCGACTGGAACACGAGCATGAGGCATACAGAGGGGACCCCTCCGACCCATCCTGACCCCTCTTCCTATGGCTGTAGGCATGTCTGTGCTGAAAGGGATCCAGTGGAACCTGGTTTAAACTCCTTGATACATTGGGATGGGAGATTGGCATGCATATGAGAAAGCACTCGACCTACAGACCATTTATCTGAATGCATAATGAATGCACACTCATGCCTGTGCATGCTTTCCCTGCCTGTGTGCTTGAGAGCAGACGTGCCCTGCCATGGGGAGACGGGAGGGGCCCCATAATGCTTGGACCCTGCAAAATGTCACCAGTGTTGTTACTGCTGAGCCCTGTCAAAGTCAGGAAGAGAATTTTAGATTGGGATGTCCTTGAATGGTCAGAAATAGGATTCATGGTTTGACTGCACATACAGTATGCATCCTTATACAACTTATGAAATAATTGGTGGCTCATGTTCTTTAACCTGTTAAACCCGGAGGCCCCCCGCCCGCGAAATTGTGTCTCAGGGCTTCTTAACATTTACAAACCTATGAATGTGTCATACCCACTTAACGGGAAGAAACTCAGCTACCTGACGATACGAACCATTTTTACCGAAACAAAACACAATTCTCACAAGAAGCGTCTAAATGAGCCCTGAGCGAAACAATTCTAACGCAACTCACAGTAAAATATCCTTATTACTTATCGGATCTGCAAAAACAAGATATCGATTAGCAAGCTGAGATTCCACAGATTCCAGAAATATAAGTATCATTACATGTTACTTGTTAGACGCTTTTATCCAAAGCGACTTACATATTCAATACTGTGGGCAATCCCCACAGGAGCAATTTGGGGTAAAGTGTCTCAGGGACACAACGACATGCTGACTGCAGTGGGGTTTGAACCTGTGACCCCCTGATCCGAACAGCAACGCACTAACCCACTGCACCACACGCCTCCCTCATCACTGAGCGATCAAAAACTCGCCGTGGGAAGCAAACCCAGACATCACACCACGTAGCTTTACGGAGCAAACGCGGCACATTGTCTTACCTTAGCTGTTGTTCGGATCAAAAGTTGTGTTCAATGGCATTACAACGATAAAAACGCTGCTGAAGGTTAATCCAATGGTTAATCCAATGTGTCTGTGCCACTTTAAAATGATTACTGATAATCCATCATCATATTTATGGAAAAAACTGAGTTTTCATATATAGCTGCTATGATAGCTACTAGAGTGTATGACAGCTTCCGGTTTTGGGCATTCTGGCTGCGCATGACTCTATTCACCAATGGGTAATGTTTAGATGGATTTTAGGAACTTCCCCTCGATTCTATTGGCGATCCGAACTCGCGACAGGGGAAGCGAAAACAGACATCACAACACCTAGCTTCACGAAGGAAGCTTCTTACCTTAGCTGTTGTTCTGATCAAAACTATCAAAACGATGCTGAAGGTTAATCCAATGTGTCAGTGTCACTTTGAAATGATTCCTGATAATCCATCTTCATATTTACTAGTTTGAGCCTAGGTTTCAGTTTTCAGAGCATAACATTGCTCTCGACTGCGTGCACATTAGGGATGTGCATCTCCATCACTGAGGCCGATGCGATGCGCATCTCGATACGTTGCCACGATACGATACATTAACGATACCTTTGAAACACCAGGCGATGCGATACGATACGATTCACCCCTGTTGCGATAGAGTTCGATACGATTTGATTCAACATTATGCGATTCGGGGCGATACGATGCGATTCAACATGATGCAAAAATAATGATACTTCAATATGGTACGACAGAGGATTTTTGTTTTATTCCTTATATGCAGCAAATCATACATTAACAAAAAAGTGCTTTACATATTTGGTACTGCACATCCCATCATGCCGTTTATTTTTTTACCTTTAAAAGCTCTCCAGAGTACAATTGTATAACACCTCACAGTTAAACAATGTAAGGATGCATTGCTCATGATTAACAATGTGCAAATAA